TTCGAAGTGTTGAATTGGGAGGAAGTTTCACGCTCTCTCATCTCTGTAACGTTTTCTCGTGCCGCTGCTTGAGTCAATGTGAATGATTTTAGTTGCGCGAGCCTTGAGTATGTAATGCTGTTCGCCAGTGATCGTTCACACGACGTTCTTCTTTCGTCTCGACCATCAAGGCGTCCCATGAGTTTGGTATATCATATTGTTTTATTTCTTCTAATAAATTAGTCAATCTGCTCATTAATTTTCCTGTAGCTCTGTAGCCGACCTCATGTTTCTTGATGAGATTGTAATGGTTTGTCTTATGCGTGATTTTAATGCTAATCCAGTTTATTCCAGGCTGATATGCTGATATTAATGAAATGTTTTGCAGATTGATATGCCTGATATCAATCTAGCTGCTGACCCTTCTAGGCAGTTACGCAGATAATGTAATTTTTGCGCATCAATTAATTTTTTACTTTTGAAAACTAATGATTGAAATGTATCGCTAAACGTGGCCCATTCCAAATCCATAATCTCCGGTAAATTTTGAAATAGGAATGTCGGGAAGGCACGTGACTGGTTGCGAGTCTTCTTCAACTGTCATTTCTTCTTCAAATCTTTATTGATAGTTTAACCCTTGTTGTGTCGATTCGTCCAATTGTTGGCAATAAATTCATGATTACTGCTGTTGCTTTTGCATAACAAATTGCTTCTTTTAATAATGCATTTTCTGTAAAACATTCATGAGTGATATATCTGATTGCGGCCAGGTAGTTTCTATTTAGTCATGTTCTATCATAAATTTGTTGCTCATCAGATCATCAATGGTATTTTTTTATTTCTCTTACTGTACACGGTTTGATGTCTGTGTACTCTTCGTTAAGATTATAAATTAATGTATTAATAGTGGTAATTCGTGTCCACTGTGATTTGGCCTTTAATAATTGCTCGTTTGTTAATTTATCCTTAGTTGAATTACGTGTAGCGCGTTCGTGACCGATGGAAGTATTTGTCACTCACCGATTCTTTTATTTCTTTTTTGCCTTGAGTTGACATTTTGTTATAAATGAGTATGCGAACTGCAATTGTTCATCTTATTCTAAATTCCTTTAGAGTTGTTTTATATCAATATGCCTCAAATTTTACCCGTTACTTGCTTAAATCAACGGTTCATTGATTTTATACTCTAAGTACCCCGTAATCAGTCATAGTTGAAGGTGTGATCCCGCGTCTGACTTATGGACCGAAATTATTGACTCGAACAGCAAAGCCTATCTACTCGTAACTTTCATTGCTACTGTGGTCATTGCCTCCGCTATCTACAGTATAATGAATGTTTCCAATGATACCGAATTATAAGAATAAACGAGGAGAAGTTTCGACGTACTTAGCAAAACAAATACAAAAGAAATGCTCGAGCTTGCACAGTACACAGAAGAGGAAGCCAGAGAAGGAGACGATGAAATTAGGTATTAGTGTGTCAGCAGTAGACATCACACGGGGCCTCAAATCATCTGGATCCCAGGCGAGGATACCGAGGACAGAGACCGTACCGTTAGATGTCATTTCAACAGGGCATAGCCTGGAACGTTCGTCGCTAGTATTTTCTTTAAATAACCGAATTCCGCATTCATATCTCTCCCACTTTCCATTATCAAGTTTTTAATCCGTAACAAAATGATATACATATATAAAATCTAATCAATTAAATCGAAATTAAATCTCATCTCGATTACATTCGTAGCGATTAAAAGGTTATTTATAATATCTTTTTGGCGGTTAATAAGACCTTAATCGCTAAATCAATGGATTTAGCACACAAATGCTTTTACGTTTAATCTGTGTTATTACCTCCTTTGTTAGTTTTGAAATAATTTTTTTTATTAACAACCTAAAGTATTTGATAATGATATTGTTAAAGGAGAAAATTAATTAATGAGTTTCTATTATTTTTAATTTTAATATAGTAATTTAGACAAATAATAATGTCACGTCTCCAAGTGCAAGTATATCTTACTAGTTCTAAAGATTATAAATATCGAATTGCGAATGAAATGTCTTAAATTATCAAGATTCTAAAGTTATACAGAAATAAGAGCCATTTTTCATAATGAAAACTTTATCAATTAAACTACTTATTATGCTGCAATCGAAACTTTAGAAATCTTATTAAGTTTCTAATGCGTTTTAATGGTACAGTTGTATAGTTGCATAATTCCTTCATTAGATTAAAACAGAAATAATTTATTTTGAATTAATATTAAACGATGAAAGATATAATATATATATATATATATATATATATATATATATATATATATATATATATATATTTTATTTATTTTTTTTTTCTGATAATCTGCGTAATTTATAAGTGATTTGAAGTTACGGGTGCTGTATTAATCAAAATTTTGATAAATTCTGCAGAAATTCAGAAATTATTTAATAATGCTATTTTAATTTTATTTTAAACTTAAAGTTTTGACGACGATAAATATAATTAATTACACGATTCTTAAATTGAATGGTTTAATTAAAATCGACGATCATCTATTTTTATTCGAAACACAAAATAATAAATAATTATTTACATAGATATATATATATATATATATATATATATTATTTTTTTTGTGTATGTGCAGAAATTAACAAAACGTTTTTATATAAATAAGAATTTTTAAATCGAAAGCAAACGAATTCAATAAAAGTCATAATGAATGGTGGTGGATTCATGTTATTGTAATAATGTTATACTGATAAAAAATTATAAATTTTCTTCAGAAATAATTTATCGTTCACGCCGTTTAAATAATGACCTTATTCGATTCTAATAAGCTTGAATGATTTAATGAAGTTTTATAATATATTTAATACTATATACTATAAACAATTACTAGAATTGGTAAAAACGTTACATTAACTTAGTATTGTCTATAATAAATAAATAACATTAATAAATTTTCTTCAATATTTGTACATAATTTGCATAATTTTCATAAAACATTAATTTGATTGGTAATGAAGTAATTTATAAAATTAATAATGTATACCATACAATATCTAATAAATATCTACGCATAATACACACATACACCTTAATGATGGGAAGAACAAACACATACACACGCGCGCGCGCGCGCGCACACACACACAAACACACACACACAAACAAACAATTATAATTTTATTCGTGTACTATGTTCGAAAAAGAAAAGAAAAATCTTTAATGACATTGATACTTCAGTTATTAAAATCATGTGGTATAGAAAATTATTTTGAGATCTTGTTATGTTCGTAAATTGATGATATATTTTGTTAGAAATATTGTACAATTGCATATAAAATTTACCATTGCATATATGAGGCTAAAACGTAAAATTCAATTCATTTATTCTACTTAGATATGATAACGGATGATCATAGATATGGAATTAGGATTTAGATATATCATGATTTATGGTCTCATTGTTAAAAACATTAAATTTTTGTATCACAGTTATGTTATTCGGTGAGTTTAAATTAAATTTTCTCTAAATTAATGAAAACAATAAATTATCAAGTTGGCAGAATACTCGGCGATTAAAAAAAAAAATTTTTTTTTGTTTTTATATAAACATTGGAAGAGGAAGTACATAAATCAAGTGAATGTAAAAATAGAAAATCTTGAAGAATTTTGAAATTTTATAAACGTTCACTAAATACAAAGATTGCCACAACTATAAAATTTAAATCGTGTAGCGATGATTTTATTAGCATATTAATAGTTGTAATGTAATGTTTGACATCAGCATCAGTTTTATTGCTCGATGTGTTTAATGCTAAAGATTATACGAATTATGCGTGTGTGTTCGTGAGTGCGTGTGCTTTGCTTTAAATGCGAGTCGTTTAGCCAACTTTTTATTTATTTTATTCAAACGCATTCGTTTTTGAGTGATGAATATTTAATGAATCACAGCTGAATCTGTTTAATCTGACATTTCTAAATCTATTTGACTTTGATGTTTGATAAACATTGAGCAGAAAACATGTTTACACGTGAATTAATAAATTACCTGATAATTGTCAAATGCGATTTAATACATTCATTAATTATGTTTTGTACAATTCTATTATAATTTTCTTAATGATTTTGAATGGTAAATAAGGCACATTTATAATATTCTTTTTATAATTCTTTTATAAGTTTTAAAATTTATTTGAACGATTGTACCGATGGTCTTAGCATCAATTTCCCCAATAACGTCCATCGATAATGGAAATTGATAGATAATTTTAAGCAATTGTTCATTTTTAATTAGAATTTGAATAGATAAACGGATTAAAAATGGAAGGGCTCGCTCTGTTAAACATAAGTTGTTTTAAAGAATCTAAACAGACTCGGGTACATTTAATTGTTCTTATCCACGGAATCATGTAATAAAATAAAATATATCATTGGAGTTTAAAAATTGAATTAAAATTAATGTGTACATAAGCAATACACTTGTTTTCTTCTTTCGTTTTCCGTTCATTAACGCAAATTAAATTAAATTACATTGTTTTGTCCTCGTTATTAATAAAACGACACCTCCCAGTGTCAAAAGCGAACATTCCCTCGCTATTGTGTGTTTTTTTTTTGTTTTTTTTTTTTTTTTGATTTTACATGCACGATACACTTGTAATAAAAATTATCTTCTCACGACTTGGAATTTTCCATTAAAAAAAACGTCGTGAGACTAAATAAACAATGTAATCTGCCTATTTTGAACTTTGGCGCTCTTACTTATAAATTTCGCTATAGTTATAATACTTGTGGAATACTCGACTCGAGTCAGTCCTCCGCTTACCATAGCTAAGGAAGGTCATTTAAGAATTAATGTGAAATATTAGACAGGAAACGAGTGAAAAAAATGTAATAGCTAATCTGAGAAAAGTGACACGTGGATAAATTAGTACCGATAAGGATTTGAAAAAGAAGAAATTCAAAAACTTCAACCTCCAAGAGATTTACAAGTTTCGGATAAGTATTTTTCTTTTTTTTTGTGAGGAGTAATGGGCCGATAAATAATTGGCTTTTAACCTAGGAAATGTTGCGTTGCAAAGGTAAATATTGATAAAAGGAAGATGAAGCCATTTAGTATTGGAAGCATTAGATTTTAAATGCATTCAAGAGAGTACAGCCCCGACAAAGTTCATTATAAAGTTGATATTTGTAATTTATATATATTTAACTATTATGAATAAGTCACGTAAGTAATACATGGACTTATTTAATGTACGAGCTGCATTAAATTATAAATTTACAAAGTGAAATGTCTTATTCTTTTGACAGATAATGCCTATTTGCTCAAATACGTTAGCTTGGTTACGCTAACATTGCAAAATGCTCTTGTTGGCCTTAGTATGAGATACGCTCGCACCAGGGCAGGAGATATGTTCCTGTCCTCGACAGGTTTTTATCCAATTTTAACAAATCAATTTCAACCATGCGTTTATCCATAAAAAAAAGTACCCGCTGCCTCACAACAATGTAATTATATCGGCTTATTATTTGTTATTATTTTTCAGCCGTATTGATGGCAGAAGTTGTGAAATTGATAACTTGTCTATTTATAGTATTTATCGAAGAAGGTAGTTTTTCCAAATTTGTCTATGCCTTTGATACGACGATTATCAAGCAACCTAAGGATACTCTTAAAGTCTGTATGCCATCCTTACTTTACGTTATTCAAAATAATTTATTATATTTGTCTGCATCGAATTTGGACGCAGCTACGTATCAGGTATAATAAAGCTTATCTTCTATTATATATTTAAATTAGAGATTGCGCGCCTATGAAAAATCAGCGTTGAATTAAAATAGTAAATACAAATTGATTGACTGAAATTAATGTTGAACTAATTAATAGTGCCAATGATTTACAAACAGCAATTTTGTACAATTACCGATCGATAAATTTTCTTTCGTATCGGCTCTAATTTAAATAAAAAACTCAGGATAAATATGATGATAACGATTATTATAATAAATTTCATTTATTACATATTTAGGTAACATATCAATTAAAGATACTGACAACGGCATTTTTTGCAGTTGTGATATTAAAAAGATCGCTACTCAGAATTCAGTGGGGTGCTCTATTAATATTGCTCGCTGGCGTTATATTGGTGCAGTTGGCTCATAGTGAGAATAAAGCCGTACCATCTGGTATGGATCAGAATCGGTTGGTGGGATTTAGCGCGGCTCTCGCTGCTTGCTTTCTCTCTGGATTTGCAGGAATCTACTTTGAAAAGATTCTTAAAGGATCGCAGATTTCTATATGGATGAGAAACGTACAGTTGAGCTTTCTGTCGTTGCCAATTGGATTCTTGACGTGTCATTTGAACGATGGAAACGTCATAGAAAATCAAGGATTTTTCTTTGGTTACGACTGGTTTGTAGTGTATCTAGTTATATTACAAGCATGCGGTGGATTAATCGTCGCAATGGTTGTTAAACACGCGGATAACATTTTGAAGGGCTTTGCAACTTCGCTCGCTATAGTAATTTCATGCATCGCATCTATATATTTATTCGACTTTCAATTGACATTTCAATTCAGTATTGGTGCAATATTTGTTATTTGCTCTATTTTTATGTACAGTCATCAGCCTAAGACTGCGTGTTTAAATAAGCATTTAAATTCCGATAAAGTGTAGGGGAAAAGGTTATTTGAAAATAGCTAATTTGCAAGCGAGTATAGTCGATTGTATGACAGATACAATGGACTGTCATGATATTATGAAGAGAGAGAGAGAGAGAGAGAAAACGACACCAATGAATAATATACATTAATATTTTTGCAATATAATGTTATGAATTTTGAAAGCCCAAAATATGTAACGAAGCGTTTTGTATTATTTTTGTATTTAAACCAGTAATTTTTAATATAAATTAATGAGCTCAAAGTTTAGAAGAGTTAAAAAGAAAATAAGATATAACCGATACAGTAAATCTCATTACTATAGATATTATAAAATTTATAAAAAGTTGTGATTTTTCATATTAAATATGAAATAAATTTAATTTTAACTTAGTTTTATAACTATGTTGATTTTATAAGATCTGAGATTAATGACTACGATACGTTTATGCCTAAGTGTAATATACAATTTTTTGTAAACTTTATGTACTTAATTAAAGCAAAGACTTCTAATTTTAATAAAATATTATTTTTAAAATAATTGTCAATGTTTTTGATAAACCTGTTGATAAATATGTTGGCATTTGTAATATACATTTTCTGACGATTTTATATTATCCCTATTGTTGTAGCTATCTCGAACAATATTGTTGAAGTAGTTTCTTAAACATTCCTTAAGCATTGATGTTTAAAATTTTAATTAACAATAAAACACACGACTAAATACATTATATTAAATAACAAATGTCATCTAATAACAACTGTATCCTTATAATTAACACTGCATAAGTGTTACAAGCTGATTTTATTAAAATTTAATATTCTTGTTATTTGCGTTTGCTATGTGTGACGTATGTTATTCACGTCAAATATGTTTCAATCAAATTTTTTTTAATATGTATATAACAATAACAAAATTATAAAATAAAAATTGACCATAGATCGAGCAGTTTTCAATTTCATATATCTTCAAAGATTGAAATTCTGAAATTTTGAAAATCACATTGAACAATCGAATAACAGTTTTTTTAAAAAGTTTATTTATTATACGCTAGCATTTCATCAACATTAATTTGGAATAAAGAAAAAATGTTAAATATTATAAACATTAATTATGATTTCACTGATATCATTTTATATTATTCTTTCTGCCATATCGAGATTAGACAAATTACTTGTATAGCAATTTTTATTCTAAAATATCTTTGAGCTACATTTTAATGTATCATTATCACATTTCCATTTGTTTAATAAACGTTTCTTATTATCGTCAATAATTAGATGATAATTGTGTTTTTATACATTTTTGCGCTTATTAAAGGATTAAAATTTAAGCGATCGTATTCGGTAAATAATGACGAGCTCGATAATAACGCACATAACGATTCGTTTGAATAACATTGGCGAGGAATGCACGACAAATACTAAAAAATAAATTAAACAACTTTCTAAAGTCTTCGTGCAGCGTTATAAAAAATGAACTTATAATATTAGTTTCTTTTTTGCGATATTTTACAGAGCAAAATTAATTATAACGAGGTGGCTCGAACGATTTACACCACAAAACTTTCTACAAAAGTTTTTGTAATAATAATAATAAAAAAATTATAGTAAACACCATAGTATAAAGATTATAAAGACGAAGAAACTGTATGAAAACAAAATAATTAATAGGTATTGAAGAATACATAAAATAAGTTAAAAGACTCATTAGAAAATTATTGTAAATCATTATATATACATAATAGGCGAACGATAACCGGAAGAATTAGTTTTTTTTTTCTTCATGTTTTCGTAATCGCAGTATTGTAATCGCACGCGTTTAACATTAAATTTATATGGCAACTATGATAATCCGGATTTGGTACTAATATCATCAGGTTTTATGAAAATTGGCATAATGCCCGGCTCGAGCCCGTTTCACTAGCTCGTTGAAGCAAATATTTCCGATATGCTCCTGCGCGTTCCAACGTATTAGAAAAAATTATGTCTCTTGGTTGGCTTCTTCTGCCCGACCAACGCGGTTGGGACATTATGTAATGGTCACCTGAACAACCACCACTAACTATCATTGTGTCCAGGGCGAAAAAAAATGTCGATTCCCTTTTGGGGGGGAGTGGAGCGAGGACTCGAGACTGATCGAAGCTCGATCGATCTACCGTAGGCAGAGTAGTTGTTCGTAACAACCGACCGGAAAGACGCGGTACTTGCAGGAGACCTTGGTAACTACTTGCGCAACACCGATGTAACGATAACCAAAGCGGCGAGTGAGTTATCGCGGAGGTAACAGAGCGCGATGTTATCGGCCGATACCGAGGCCAACAATAATCATCACCGGGGGAAAGCAGCGACACTCGAGCGTTAAGATGTGTAAGGACGTGTGATAGCGATGGCCGTGGATTGAGTGGCGGGGGGGAGGGGGCTCGAAATCGCGTGAGAGTCCGAGAGACTACCGCACTGTCCGAGCTCTAAGGGCTTTCGTCACAGTAGTCGCGGACGCTCCAGTCGACCGAGAGTGGCACCAGAACAATCATTGGACAGTCGATCGGGACAGGCTCTCTCTCCTCCTGCCGAATAACGAAGGACATTGACGATCGATGAGCGACAGCGAGTGCAAGAAGCCAAAAATGTCGAGTACTTTGGATCAGCTGAAGTCGATGACGACCGTCGTCGCGGACACCGGGGACTTCGAGGGTAAGTAATTTACCGGAGCCCGCTAAATTGCGACTCCCATCAGAAGGTTTCGGGCTCGGAGAGTTTGGCTGGTTGGGTAGGTGTATATGTGATATATGTGATATATAGGATAATTAATTGATGTAGGGCGCGAGGTGGTTGTTGGCTGAATCAGCCGAGAGTTCGAATTGAAATTTAATCGTAGAGATTGTGATACGATGCTCGATTCGTCCTTTGATTGATTGGCGGGGGCGGGGAGAGTGGGGATATTTTTTAGATGCCGGTAGGAATTTGTTAATCGAATGAATGCGTTGGCGTTTTTATTAAAGAATAATGAGCGTTCGAGGGGCCGCTTGTATTGGCTTTGACGAATTTCACTTGCAAATGTGCCGTGATAATTCTAGAATAATGACTAAGGTAAATTGTCATCGGTTATGCCGAGGCTTTGACTGTACTCCTCGGGCCTCGCGTCCTTTTATCCGTCGAGTGTTCGTTTTAATGTTTAAAGGCTTTTTCCCGCGAATAATGAAAATCAGTGGGTAAAAATAGATGATGAGAATTGATAGGAATTTCATGCATTCCTATTATTACGCAATTAATGCTTTTGTACATTCGCTGTACGTAATCTCGAATATAAGTAGACTTGCGGGCGCAGATTTTATCAAGCCGCGGACGTATTATAAAAAATGCCACAAGCCCTGCTACATTTAGATGGGTTATCGATAATAAAAATTATTTTGGTTGCGTGCAACACTATCGTAATGTTTTCGAATGATGCTGGAAGCTTTCAACTTTCAAGATAAATCAAATCATTTTCGTCCAAAATTCGTTCGACTTTGTTATATGACTGACTAAACAGCTAGTAAAAGTAACCGCTGTACACGCGATATGCGGCTTATGATAATATGGTTTTTATCTGAAGCTGTTTTTTGTGTATTGAGTGAGCAAAAGTTACGATCACGCAACCTTTGACTTGTGTAAGAAAGCTTAAAAAAAAGAGGAAGAAAAAAAACTTGGACCAAATGAGAATTGAGAATGTTTTCTAATTTGAAATAAGCATGATTTAATTTTAAGGTCTTCGTTTGCCATGTTTTGCTATGTTTTTTTGTCATGTGAAAAAAACTTGAACGACTTATTTCCGAAATATTTCCAATTAGTTACTTATTTGTTATTGTCATTTTTTTCTTTAGTTATGGAGCAATTCAGGCCTACGGATGCCACGACTAATCCTTCCCTGATATTAGCGGCAGCCAATCAAAAGAAATACGCACATTTAATCGACAAGGCAGTACATTTTGGTAAAAAAACTGAATCGTAAGTTGTAAGTTGCGCGACGATGAATTTATAGTTCATTAATGCATTGTCTTATATATACTTTTTGTGTAAATTCAGGCTGCTTGCGGATCAAGTCGAGGCTGCATTGGATTACACATGCGTATTGTTTGGTCAGGAGATATTGAAGATTATTCCTGGCAGGGTTTCAACCGAAGTTGACGCTCGTTTATCATTCGATAAGGAAGGTAGTATTGAAAAGGCAAAAAAGCTTATTTCAATCTACGAAGAGGCTGGTATTAGCAAGGAACGGATTCTGATTAAACTCGCTTCTACTTGGGAGGGAATCCAAGCAGCCAAGTACGAGATTAATTTCTTACCAAATACAGAATACCCTGTTAATATTCAGATTATTTCTTGTCTATTATTTCTTAATATGCTCAATATCAATTATTTTCTAGAGAGCTTGAAGAAACATATGGAATACATTGTAATTTAACGCTTCTCTTTTCATTCGCACAAGCTGTAGCTTGTGCCGAAGCCGGAGTTACTCTCATTTCTCCCTTTGTCGGTAGAATCCTTGATTGGTAAGTTTGCTTTGCATACTTAACGTGCTTGCGTTTCATACGCTACTTAATGGTTTGTATTTTAATATCGTGGCCAACACTTGCGAGTAAACTTTGTAACGGTTAGAAGTTGAAATGTGAATTATCGGTAATATTGGTTATGAGTAATGACTGAAAACCATGAATAATTATAGATTAGACTAATTAATTAATAGATTAATAGGTATAAAAGTGATATATGTTCTTGTAGTTTCATTAAATAAATATATCCGTCCGACTGCTTTATCCTCCCTTGTAAAAATTTTCTCTTTCCCATTTCTAATGTGCACAGACAGTGTACGTTTCTTCATTTAAAATTTGTTTTTTAGGTATGTTGCCAATACCGATAAAAAAAGCTACGAGGGAAAAGAAGATCCGGGTGTAATTTCTGTAACAAAAATATACAATTATTACAAAAAATTTGGCTATAAGACAGTTGTTATGGGTGCATCCTTTAGAAACATTGGTATGCTTATCAATCGATAAACCTTAATGACACTTTGACGTTCTGAAAAATTTTTTTAATACATGAATCTACTATCTTTAAATGCACAGGTGAGATAAAAGCACTCGCAGGATGCGATTTCTTAACCATTAGCCCAAAACTTTTGGAAGAATTGGAGGCAAGTACCGAGTCGCTTCCCAAGACTTTGACAAGAACCTTGGCAGAAAATTCTGAATTAGAGAAAATGAGTTTCGACGAAGCGACGTTTAGATGGCATTTAAACGAGGACCAAATGGCCAGCGACAAACTTAGCGAAGGCATTCGTAAATTTGCCATAGATGTACGTAAGCTGGAGCAGCTCTTGAAGGAAAAAATTCAAGCTTAAGTGCACAACATATTCTTCTACCAACGAGCCATATGAAAAACTTAAAAAAATTATGTATTAGCCAATAGGTGCAGCATTTGAACAATTTCAGAAACTTTTATCTTTGGTAATACATACGTTATTGTACATATACACATATTTACGCACACGCACACGCACACCCACACTCACTCACTAACACACAGAGAGCCACGCATAAGCGCGAGTACTCAATTATTGCTGAATAATGTTTATCATTGTTTTAAATATATATATATATATTTATATATATGTTTATAAAAAACAAACATGAAAATGTCCTTGCAAATTCATTGTGTGAAACACTGCGAGCGTTGTTGTCTAACCTTTAAAACCACTAATCAAACAAAAGGTAAGTACATCTAATAATTATATTTATAAACAAGCTTGTGCAATAAACATATCATTTACGTTAAAACAATGATTTTAGTCCGATTGATGATGTTGTTTATGAATTTGCACGAAAGGCACGTATCGATAGTAGCGATATATCGAACGTCAATCAAATCTCGAAGTATAAGCGATCGATGCCCTATCGCACAAATATTTTAAAACAACTAATGCCAATAAAATTGTTCGAGCATGCTTAATCACTCGACGAAGTCATTGCAAATGCTTGGGAACGAAGTAGCTCGAGCGGCCCGAGGAATGGCTCGCGCCAATTCCGCCCCTCGGCACCTCGCCGCAACAGCCAAACGACGCGATTCCCAACAAATATTAACGAAATAAACAATTAGCGTGTCAGCCCGCCCCTTAAAACCACCGTCGATCGTTCGTAATTGGCGCTCGCCTAGTCGTCGGTTGAGGTTGGTCGGGGGGCGGGGGTGAGGTCGGACATTGGCGCCTCACGCACTCGTGAATACTCGGCTCGGCTCGAGAGTCGTTTCGTGCGCGGCCCGAGTCAGCGCCGCCTCGAGCAATCCTCGGCGAGAAAGCAAAAAAAAAAAAAAGCAACGCGCGAACCCGAGACAGTGAGTGTGACTGTGAAAGAGTAAGAGTGAGCGGGAGTGTGAGTAAAGAGCGCGATCAGGAGGGCGACGGGACGGGACGGGACGAGACGAGACGAGATTGCGGCCTGAAAGGTAAGCGAGCTTTGACAACAAACGTTAAACGGTGCAAAAAGTGTCCTTGCCCGGCGTGTAAACAATCTGCGGGAACTCACGAGACATCGCGCTGCTCGGGGTATGCTGGATGATTTATCGGAATGAGCTTTCAGTTACTTGCTAACCGCTATTCGGTTTGCGATCCCTTTGCCATTAGGTCACGTAGTCGGAAAAGTCTCGCACGATCATGTTTCGCACGATGAGATGGTAAAGTCTCTCGCGCGGCTCTTCTCGATTCTTCTCATTCTCTTGCTTCCCCGTGGGTTCCTCTCTATCCTCCTTCTCCACCCCCTCACCAGCCCCTCATCATCCCGAGTAAACCCCATATTCCTCCCACCACCCCCCCCCAGCCACCCAGCCCCTCACCAACTATCCCCTTCTGCCCCGCCGAAACCCTCCATGGTCCTATCAACCAGCCCGTCCGCCCGTCCGCCCGTCCGCCCGTCCGCCCAGGCCACTCCAGTCCAGTCGTCTCGCATTTCCCGTCTCGAATTTGCTCTTTGCCGAGTCAAATCCTTTCTACGGGTGTGATAACTTTCACCCGCCACAGTCTGCCCCATTCTTCCTTCCCGCTCATCGGGCTTTTACATTTCTCTTCGGCTTTATTGCCACGATCGGAGGCACACGATCATGGATTTCTAAAGCTCGACTACTTCTTTTCCAGCAAGGAGCACGATCACTCGTCGTTCTACAACTTCATACAAATGGAGAAAAATCACAAGGACACGGACTGCTATTTTTTTTATTACTCAACGTGCACGAAGGTAAGTGCGTTAGAATTCGATCGGCTTTATTGGGGATTAAGATTTTTGGTTGCCGAGGGAATATGTCAGTAGGTATGGCTGGACTTTCGTTAAACATTAAGGTTAGAACGGCCATATTGTGTAAATATTTTTAGTTCATTTCTCACTAATGAGCCAATGTACCGCTTATTATCGAGTACCTTATGAAGGATGTGATTAATTGAGGAAATGATTATGGAGACGAAATTTTATGGTATTGCTGGATTATTTTTTTTATCTCTATGGGCTAAAAATTTTCCAACCTATTTGATTTCATTATTCTTATTTTATAAGCTATTGATAATTTGATTAATTATTAGGGCGATAATTGTGCCTACCGCCATGAAGCATCTGCATTGGGCAGCGAAACAGTGTGCTCTTTTTGGATAGAGGGGAGCTGTCAAAATCAGCATTGTAACTTCAGACATATGGAGATTAAGGTCAGCTTTGGACGTGTACTTTTGATTTTTATTTGCACCAATGATGCGTGGTTGTTGGACGGTAGTTTGAGACACTTTAATTAATGCCTGACACTCGAGGTCTGGAAAACCTTGTATTTTCTACAGTGTTTAAATTTAACGACAAATGGTCGATTCACCCATTAAGTCATAGCATTAATTTAAAATCAATATAATCCACGCTACTTGTAGCGAAAAATGATTTTTATTCCTTTTCTTTAACATATCTTTAACTTTGCTTGAATTTTGCTTAATTCCATATTCAAATTAATTTTCAAAGGGTATTAATATTAAGGCTTTTAAGCGATGTACTGTTCTTGCATTACATTGTCCGTCTCACATACTTAATTTTGTATTACAGAAAAATCGTAAAACGATTCCATGTTATTGGGAAAAGTTTCCTACTGGATGTAAGAAACCACATTGTCCATTCAATCATAGGATTAAGAGAACTACGATAACCAATCCTATCGAACCCGTGAAGACACCTACCCCAGCAAAACCCGTTACTCAAGAGTGGTCAAATCGCTCTGGTGAGAAAACCATTCTATTTTTTAACATTATCCTATTTGAATATAAAATTTATTTTATACATTCGATAATTTCATTAAACGATTCGATTAAATAAAATAATGAACATAGCCGATCAAACTAACTTATTAAAATATGTATAAATTATTCTATTTTTTTTAATCCATTTACATTTCATATAATAACATTAAATTTTAACTTCTGTCTTAATTGACTTGTTTAAAAACAAAAAAATGCTGTGCTTAATATTGAAACGTATCTAAATATATTTTTATTTTCCACTTCTTATATATTGTAGTAGCAATCACTGCGTTATCTATAATTTTATATAATACATAATTATTTTTTAACGAGCATCAATGATATCGATATATTTTTATTCTCCACCAAGAATGCTTTGCTTAAATAAAACAAAAAAAAAAAAAATTGTGCAATTTAATACTTACACAAACGGCAATATCTATGTAATAGAATTCAAACTTTTAAGATGGATCTTTTATTAAGTTACGATTATAATTTCAGTACGTAACCGTTTATCGTTAGAGTATCCTAAACTAACTATTCAATGAATTTATATCAATACACATTTAAATTATAAACTTTTTAATTTTTTTTTTTTTTTAATATTCCTCAGCATCTATGATGTTGGAAGTAACTGTGTAATAGGATTAAAATTTTAATCCATTTAATATAAATGATACAAAGTATTCCAAAAATTTTTCATAGGAGAGGCTTTGATTTCTGGATCCTAAATTTTAATAAAACTCTACGAGATTAAGTTTTTACACAAATTATCCACTACTTGTACTTGATTGTATCAATAAAATCTACTTTTCAATACATAATAAAATTGTACGAGTACTTTTTTTATTTTAGTGGATTATCAGAATTTATGATAAAAATATATATATTTTCACGCATATGGCTTACTCGTATACATACCCAAATTATGTACAATATAGACATAATAAAAGTAATTGAGCAATTGCGTTAATAAGTAAAGCTAATCAATTAAATTTATTTTAATTTTGTATATATAATTTTGTTAATAATAGCTCATGCATGGCTTTTAATACAATGTTTGACTTAAATTGCTACTGTAAATCAAATGAGAATTATGAATTCTCGTTTTGCTTGCCATATCCGGTTAAAATTACTTAGACTTTGAAGTAGAACTACGTTTATTAGAGTCACGGTATCTGTGTGGGATCTAATCTAAATTCTTGGTAAAGTCTCGTACGAGAAAACGGTTCTCAACGAAAAATTGTTACAGCTCTGAGACTTTGTTAAAATATGAGGATTCTGTGAGCAGAAGCCCTCCTCTCGCAACTGTACATATGTAAAAGCGTAAGCGCATAAACGTTAAAATTATTTTACTAATGCTTTGTCTGTAAAATTTGGAAAGATGGGAAATTCGAAGGTAACAGTACGGAGACGGATCAGGGCCGCGGCAACAGTGAGGCCGGGAGCTTCATCGGCAGCCCGGTCGACCCTCTCATCGTCAACTTCGAAGAAGGTATGAGGCTTTATTAGCCCCCGCGACCGTCCTTCAACTTGCACTACCTCGCGCCCGGCAGCCATCTTCCCTTAGCGTCCAGTCTTCAGACGAGCCTGAACTTGCCCCCGCCTCAAGCCCAACAGCCACAACCCTCGAGTCTCGCCATACCCAGCAGCGGCAATCTTACCCTGCCAACGCGCTCCAGCCTGGTGAGCTCGCAGTCCTCTCCGTGTCACCACCGTTCGCCCCTCTCCTTTGCCCCGCCCCCGCCTCACCATCACCATCATCACCACCACCAGCAGCAGCAGCAGCAACAGCAGCAGCAGCAGCAGCAGCAGCAGCAACAGCAACAGCAACAGCAAGCGAAACAGCACCACCAACAAACGCAACCTCAGCCCCAACCGCAGCAGCAGCCTCAACAACAGCACCACAACCACCACCACCGCCACCACCACCACCAACATCACCAGCACCAGCACCAGCACCACCAATCGCAACAGCAACAGCAGCAACAACAACAACAACAACAACAACAACAACAACAACAGCATCAACAGCAACAGCATCATCCTCATCATCATCATCACCACCACCACCACCACCACCATCAGCCGCAGCCAGCGCCCCAGTCCCAGCCCCAGCCTCAGCCGCCACCACCACCGCCACCAACGCTGCTACACAACGTTGCCGGGGCGCATCACCAGGCCCGGGCCGCGCCCCCATTGTCGCCGCTCCAGCCGCCGCCACCGCCAAGCCAACAACCCAGCTCACCTCTGCTTCAACGACCTGCTGCAGCCCCTTACACGGGCATTCACAGCCAGCAGGCCACCTCACAGGCCCAGCCCACGCATATGAGGTTCCCCTTTTCCTTCCTAAGCTTCCCTTCCTACCGGAGGTTCTGATTCTGATTGATAGGTCGGTCGCAAATATCGGTCACTTTAACAAAGACATATTCATAGACAGACAGACAGACAGATAGATAGATAGATACATAGATAGATAGATAGATAGATAGATAGATAGATAGATTGGTAGTTAGATAGATAGAGGGAGGGAGGGAGTGCGAGCGAGAGATAACGAGAGAAAGAAAAAGAGAGAGAGAGAGAGAGAGAGAGAGAGAGAGCGAGAGCGTGTCGTCACCATAGTTATACGTAGCTGCTAGTAGCTAGCGTTACGTCATTGCTGTGAGATGAATTCCACACCGAGAGATGAGTTTTTTGCGATTCCACCATATTATCGTCTCCCTTTCTTAACTTTTACTGTTTTCATTCGATCGTGATAAGTACCACGACAACAGCTGCTTTCACTTGCGTTCTCTTATAATCGCGGGACTTTGAAATCTTAGCGGTTTTTTAATAAAAATTATTAGAGTCTACATAATTTGTTATTTCGAACGGAACGTTATTATCACTTCATTAAATAATGCAGTCGTGCGATTCTCATTGGAGCGACTAATTCTGATTGCTGTAAAATGTATAATTAATTACCATTATATAATAAAATAAAAAATAAAAAACTCTTCTCTTGGTGCACGATTACTGTACGGTTTATGAACTTGTAAGCTTAAGACTTTAAAGAATGATGAAAAAACAAAATTAATCCCTTTTACACGAGCTCTTATCAATATCACGTAGTTAAGACAAAATCGTTTAATCTTGAGAGATTGATTATCTGACATAAGTAACAAAATATTAAACATTAGGATGTATAATAAATTTTTTATAAATAGTAATCGTTCTCATTATCATAAGCTAGTTTAATTAAATGAATTTTCCAAAATAGTGGTTTTGAAAGAATTGTCAATTTTACTTATAATCAACTGCTAAATTTAACCTTCAGCCTAGTCTCTATTTTTTTTTATTTTATTTTATTTTTTATTTATTTATTTTTTATTTCGCAGAAAGTTTCATACATATTGAATTGAAGATTTGTCTCATTTTACTTGTTAATGTTTTGTTTGTTTTTTTTTTATTTTCAAATCTATTTTATAAAAATAGCGTATTTTCTCAAACTGTAAGAATATGAAATAAAATTATGACTAATAGCTTTACTTATTATTACAATTTTTCTATAAAAATTGCATTTAAAAACAGTCTAAAGCATATCAATTATAAAAACAATAAATAATCTTATTTAGAATAATAATTCAAGTTTCGAAGCTCTCTTAGAAAAATGAAGATACCGCTTTTGACACATTGCGCACGACACTAGAATAAAAAATACATAGAGCATTATTTGAAAAAAAATAAATAAATAAAATAAAATAAAATAAAATAAAATAGGCAGAGAGGTAGCAAGAAAACACGGTTTTGGCTATTACTATAAAAATGAACGAGGTTTATCGAAAAATTAAAAATAAATTTTTACAGGGGACGCTATGTCCAAACTTTACCTGTGAAAAACCGCTCGTGGCTATTAGGAGGCAGGAAAATTTTTGTGTCGCAACGAAGATAATCATGGCTCGACAGAAAATCATTGCACACTGCACGCTTACTTGCATTCACCGGGATACTTGCATCATTGTTTTCTTTAAAAAAAAAAAATTTTTTGTTTTTACTTTTATCCTGCTTTATTCTAATATATCGCACCCGATTTTATATTAATTCAAATTTATTATTTTTTTTTTTTTTTTTTTTTTTTTTTTTTTTTTTTTTTTTTTTTTTTTTTTATTAAAATCTCGCACAATTGTGTAATGTATTATTTCTTTTGCACATGATCACACAACGGCTCACACATATAACACCACACGATCTCACATGCATATATATTCACGCTACAAACAACTACGGCTACACTACCGCCGGCGGCACCACCACCACCACTACCATTATTTCTACTGCTACTACTACTACTATTGCTACTACAACCACCACCACCACCACCACCACGACCACAACTACAACAATACTACTGCTACTACGGCTATTATAAACACACGCATGCACACAAACCTCGGAACAGTGAAACTCTTTCGTCGGTGATTTTGTTCTGCTTTTTAATAAATAAATCAAAATATCTAAGCGATTGAAACTATGTAAAGACGCCTCTATACATTTATTATCATGTTTGTATTTATTTTTTATGCTAAAAAATATTTTTTTTATTTTTTGGTTAAGAAGATATAGTCCGATTTTACAAAGTCAGACTTTAAAAATACGTGCGCAATCATCATTGAAATAAATTGCGAATGAAACTATCGGAAAATATCCCAGATAGATACATGGGATTTTCACGCATCACGTAAAAGCGAATAAAAAGACAAATGCCTTCATATGTTTTGGCTTGTATGAAAAATATTTGTTCAATAATCGAGATGGCTCATAGTAATAATAGTAAATAAATAAAATAAAAAATATAAAAATAAAAAAAAAATGAATAACTTAGTCAAAAGGAAGCTTTTCAGCATTAGAAAGTTAGATTTCGGTAAAGCGGGTTACGCGTTCGTATATGATCGTACAATTATAAGAGATCTTTCTTTGCTAATAAAGGATTTAAAGCCAATAAATTTGCACCATTCTTTTTTAATACTTTTCACAATCGAGCAATATGTAACGTAACTGTTATAAGCAATAAGCAACTGTTGATTTCATCAAGTTCAACATTTACCTTTTTTCTTTTTGGTTTTTTTTTTTATTTTTTATTATATTTTTTTTTTTCTTTTTTTTTTGATTTCACTAACCTTAGATTAAAAAATTCATGCTATTTATAGGTGCAAAAAGTAAAATTTGGCTTTTTATCTTTTACAGAACCATGTCAGGAATAAAGAAACGCGTGCACGATAATATAGAAACTGCGACTTTCACTAAATACAGGATTAATTGCTTTATTCATATGTACGCGCGTGCGTGCGTATGTGTCTATACACAATCAATCGTACATATAAACAGCTCAATCACATATTTTCGAGTTGAGCCACTCGGTCTCGAGGAACCACGGCTTTTAAAATAGCATTTGATCCCTCTTTGTTGCAACGACTTAATTTCTCAAATAATATTTTTGAGAATCCTTTTTCGATCTTTAGTAAAACAAACAAGTACTAAGGGACGCATACTAAAAATATAAGATATCATCTAGGTCTAAGCGAAATTTTATATATTCTTAATTTATCCCGAGTACTACGTATTAAAAAAAGTAAGAAAAAGGCAAATAAAAGAATGTACATCTTGCGAATAATATCACTCCTAACGATAAAACTGAAATACAAATCGTTGCGGAGTTGCGGTATAACACCTTTTGTAAAAAGCTGAATGAGAGATAATTTTCAAAGGGAAGTAGAAAGATAGATGCGAAAGTCGGTATCGATAAAAAAAAAAACAGTAATCTACGAGAATACTTGTAGTAAGAAGAAAAAAAATTTATACTGATTGTAAAAAAAGATATCGAGCGAAACTACTATATAAAAAGAAAAACAGAAGAAAAAGATTAAGAGAGTCGAGCTGAAAAACCATGAGTGTTTTAGCTGAAGTTAAAGTCACCGTGACATCGATGTGCGACAACTGATTACGCAAAGTAAAAAATGTTATCGCACGTTAGCTATAAAAAAAACTATATTAAATAAATGATATATGTGAAATCAACGCATATATAAATATATATATATATATATATATATATATATATATATATATATATATATATATATACACATATACACGAATTAAGGGAAAAAGTAAGTGTAGAGCGTGTGAAATGAAGAATGTCGAAAAGTTTAAAATAAACGCAACGAGAATAAACAAAATATAGATTTACGTATATTTAAACAACTAATGATTATATATATATATATATATATATATATATATATATATATATATATATATATATATATATAATCGCAAAGGACATTGTGTGGTCATTGTGTCTCTGTGTAAACATCGAAATTCGAAGCGTATCGACGGTTCGACGAGCTTTTTATTACGTTAAATGAAAAAAAAAATAAAACAAATAATTAAGGAATATGTAGGTCGGACTAAAAATTTACGAATGTTTTATTTGTGTTCAATATCTTTTTTGCTTTTAACTCAAACAGATATTTGCCTCTCGAGGTCGATATGCTCAAAATTTCGCGTCATTAAATAGCGAATAGTCTTAAAGAGAAAAAAAAGTACGTCGTAAGAATACTGAAACGAAGGGATCGCAGAGTAAATCGATCGAATAAAATTTAACTATAATTTAAAAAAAATAGGGTAAACAATTGTGTTTATAAATGAAGTACGAAGTAAACAACTCTTACACTTGCGAATAAAAACAATATTAATATTACAAAGAAAGAAAGAAAAAAGGAATAATTTGTTCCTCTACTGGTTGCAAAAAAAAAAAAAGAAAAAGAAAAAGAGAGACACGAGAGGTGCACTTACAGTTTTTAGGAAATATAAATAAGAAATGGTAAATAATAAATTACAATTGAATAATCGAATAATTTCATAATGGAGGCTAGAAAAACTATGAAAAATACGTTTGTACATAAACAGAAATAAAAAAATTAATAAATAAAAAAGATAAGAATGTGAAAAAAAAAATAGAATGAAAATGTATGCGGTTTTAATATTATTGGTGCAGAAGGAGAAGACTCGATTCCTGTACATGAACGAGGACTAAAATCGGTCTTCCTTTTTCACCATTCTTCAACTTTCTCCAAACTAGTTTCAGTCGAAGAAAATAAAACAAGACAATGTCCGTTTGATCCGCGAATTATATACAACGACGATGGTGAAAATAAGAAAATTAATTATGAAAGCGCAATATATTTATTGTAGAAGCTCCCATTTATGTTCGGTAACAAAAATGTTTGAAAATGAATGCCATCATTTATAGTAACTGCGAATATGAATCCCTGATCCTTGCTGTGAAAACAATACCAACCTAAACATTAGCACAGCGTCTCACATAAATCTGTGATACACTGTATTAATGTCGTAGATCACGTTTGATCTCTATTGTTTGTAACAATCGACGGCACGATCTGGGTTCACGAAAATAAAATAACTAGAATTAGTACATTAATGAAAAGGTTAAATCCTTGTATTTTCGGATTTATTTTTTATAACTTGTTAATTTGTTTGTTTAAGTTTTTTGCATTTAAAATTTATTAAATTGCATTCTCCCGTTTTTCTTACAGTGTTCGGCATTTACTTTTATCTCGCCTCCTTTCACTGAACCCTGGTAATCGCGCGAATGAAAAAGCGCTGATATTATCCTGTTAAATGTGTACAGGCATATATACACTCGTGTGTGTGTGCGCGCGTGTGTGCGTATGCGTATACGTACACGAGAGAGTTTATAGTTAATTGTTTTTTTGTTTTTTTTTTTTTTTTCATTCTCCGATTCTCCCTACGGACATCAAATTATGTTCTCGTATACCTTTTCAAGGCGGCTTTTTTCTTTGCCTCATCACCGTGACGAAAAAAGTGTTGTAAACAACCCTTTGCATTAGCCATTGGTAATCAAAAAAAATCGTTGGATATTTAATTATAACATAAATTATATCCAAATTTTAATATCTTCTTTAAGCAATGTAGGATTTACGCGCGTTTGCGAAATAATATAAAAGTCAAGTGTCTGATTTTAAATTAATTACAATCGAATGTTTAAAGAAAATTGGTATTTTTAATTGATTATTGATGCAGAGCATCCAACGGCTAATGAAAAGGTACCGATGAATTCGTAATTCTTTTGTATTAGATACATACATACATACACATATGTGTGTACGTTCGTGTATGTATGTGTATATATATATATATATATATGTATGCACACACACACACGCGCGCGCACACATATATTTATATTATCTAGAATAGGGAGTTGAAAACAAAGTAAAAAATAACATACAAAAATATGCTAATAAGTTAATGCGCATACTTATATGATCGATGTATAAGCTAATGGAAATCGATACATTTCATCGAAAATATTTGGATTTCAATAAACTTGATACCTCGAAAAAACTTTTTTTGCAAAGCTGTGATTAACACGCACGAGGAATTCTAATAATTCGTATCATTAAACGTTCGTCAATTCTGTTTTCCTCGCGGTGTTAATCTTCGAACTTTGCTTGATTTCTTTCTTAATTAATCCTAAATAATGGTTTGAAATAAAGTGAAATTTTTCATTTCCATCCTTCTTCCTTTTGAATTTATGTTAATCCATTCAAATGAAACAAAATGTCTTAATGAAATTTAAACGTTTCATTAAACATTGTTTAAATAAATTAAGTTCGATTTATTTTAACGAAGTTAGCACGCGTGTCCGAAAGCTTATAAGCCAAATATATTATTACTAATAATGTGGCGTTGATCGTCTGAAAAGTTCATGATATAAGGCCTTTCTAATTTATTCTTATTTATGTTTGGATTTGAGATATTTACGTATTTGCGTTCTAAGCTTGACGAGAAGCGAGAATTTGACTAGACTTTATTTAAAATAGAACAATTGGTGTTGGCGAGTCGAGCTCTTGCTTCGTAAAGTTAACAGATCTGCTGACGAAAATAAATGTATCAAATGTAAATAAATGAAATAAACAAAGGCTGGTATTTATTTGAACTTATTATTAACTTTATTGTATTTTCGTAAGCTCAATTATCTCTTTACTTCAGTAGTTAAATTGCCGCGAAGTGAAAAATAAATAATATTATAAATTTTAGCGTGTGTTCGTTCGTTCATCGTTATGAATTCTATCCAAGAAACTCAAGATATATATATATATATATATGTAGAGAGTGGGAGAGGGAGAGGGAGAGAGAACCGCGAATGTTTGTAAATACATTAAATAGCAGGATTAGCCTTGAAATCAAAAACAAATGATTTTAAGCGGATGTGCCTGGTTCTATCGAGATCGAAGTATAACTAGTTAAGCTCAATTTTAAAATATAAGCCACCGTGTAATGTAATTTTACAAAATGAGAAGAGCGATAGGATGAGATGCCATACAACTCGAAAAAAAAGTAACATACCCAAATATAATCGTCCCGTAAATCTTTTTTTAAAGCGTACGAAGAGTGAGAAATGCTTAGGATTATTAAGAAAACTAGAGACGTGGAGAGAGAGAGAGAGAGAGAGAGAGAGAGAGAGAGAGAGAGAGACAGAGCGAGTGAGTGATTGACAGCATGTAAAGGCATTATCCGTTATTTTTTGTTCTTCGTGTATGTTTGCAGAGTCGGACAGTGAGAGCGCCCCGTCTCCAACGAAGAATCCTCGAAGCCGCATCTCGTCCTGCAAAACGTACGAGGAGATCAGGTTGGAGGAGATCCAGGCGGAGAGCGCGGCCTTCTACTTCTATGAGCCATCGATGAACTATCAGGCCTCGTCAGCCGGTGGCGGGAAAGAGAAGAAACCAAGTGGCGCCAGGAGTCAGAGAGCTGTACTCGGCGCATCCGTCTACGCTCGCGAGAATACCGAGAAGAGAGAGAAGAATCCCGAGGAGCTTGACTTCCAAGTCCTCAGCCTCGAGGAAATCCGCAAGCGAAAGAGGAGCCGCGAGTCGCCTACCGTCATCGCTACAGCAGTCGCCAATGCTGCTGTCGAGCCGGAGATCGACCTATCAGGGGAATGTCAGACCAAGAAGGAGGACGGATTCTTGAAGGATGCCATTAAGGTGCTGGATGAGCTGAGGGCCGCCAATACGGATAAGGAAGTCGAAAGAGCGACCGAGAGGCGGAAGAGGAGAAGCTTCACGGAGGTGAAGAGCGAGGAGGACGCGAAGAGGCCGAGGGGGCAAGTCGAGGGGGTGCGAGTGCCGCCGGTTAGGCTCAGGAGGAACAGGAGAAGCAGCGCGTCCAAGGAAGAGATCGAAAAGTCCGCGGACGAGAGCGAGAGGCTCGAGGACGAGGAGGAGGCTGCCTGCTCGAGCAGGAGACAGTCCGTCGAGGTTCGGCTCTGCGACAGCAGCACCGACGACAGTCCATCCAGGGAAGACGTGGACGAGAAGAGTCGAAACCTGGTCGAGAGTCTCGACAGCATCGTCAAGAACGTGACGATCTGTAGTGACGTGCTGAAGCTGGGCAGGGAGGAGCTCCACACACTCGATACTGCCTCGGACGACATCCTCAAAGACATCGACGCCCTCTTGACGGACGATCCGAAGTCCTGAGGGTCGCGGCAACGCGCGTTCGTGGCTACTCCAACTGTGCATGTACTTACTTTATGACGAATGTAAGGCGATTGTGTTGGTGATTTTTAAGAGGATGGGAAGGACGACGGATATTGTGTCGAGGAGGGCTGGAGGCGCCTGAGCGTTCTTCGCCTCCTGGATCCCATTGCTAAGCATTCGGGGGCGGCTGTTTCCTAGGATTTTAAAATATACTTTAAGTGCATGCAACGATTATTTATTCGTTCGTTTTAGAATTAATGCGCGGACGTTATTTTGGGTTGAGAAGTCCCAAACGATACATTTTAACGTCGAGCTAACTGAGATTTATGTAGACATTAATGAAGATAGAGAGAATATTATCTTCCCTTATTAATGGGAACAATCGCCGATATAGATTGTTTAATGCTAAATAATTAAAAGTGATTTAATAATGGTTTTCTCTTTCATTTATAAATTTTATAAATATATTAAACAAAGATAAAATTATAAAAGCCGTGTATTTTAAAATCAAAATGTACAAATTTCTAACAAAACTAATGTATAATTATTACATTTTTTAAAAGTACGAGTTGCGTGGTGTTTTATTTCCTTGTTCATACGATCCTACATTGAAGAATATGAGCATCCCCCGTGTAAAAGGTCCAAATAAATTTTTAGATCTATGGGTTCAATCACACTATAATTTATTTCGAATGTATAATAATAATAATAATAATTGTACGCTGAAATGAATACTCGATCTATGAGAAATCACAATTGTTTTATCGTCGTACTATATATTTTTATTTTATTCAATTTTTTTCCTTAATTTTAAAGTTGCACCGGATGTAAATTAGGAGTTGACTTCCGTAAATACTAAGGATTAGCATCAATAATATTTATATATATACCATACAATAAGTGTGTATATAAACGTACATTTATATATATACATATATATTTATTTATTTATGTATACACACGCGCGCGCGCGCACACACACACACATATATATATTTATTTATGTATACACGCGCGCGCGCACACACACACACACATATATATATATATATATATATATATATATATATATAAATGATGCCGATACTTGTTCGTGGTATGTACATTAAAATAAACGTCCATTATTTTACTTCCATTCGTTACACGAATATAAATAATATTGGCAATATCGACTTAGAAACTATTTTTTCATTATTTTATTTTATTATTCTATACGCGACTATAAACGAAATGATGAAACAATAAAAGGTCAGAAAGTCGATAATCTTGTCTTTCTCGGCGCAAATTGTAGTAATAATCATAATAATAATAATAATAATATAATAGTATGATAATAATAATATAAAAAGTTGCATTGCTTTAATGAATGATTGTTGGTAAGTATATGTAACTTAAGCCGAAGTCACGACGAAACTTTTTTCTTTGCAATGTAATGAAAATTCGTAAACGAACGACATGAACAATTCGCGTAATTAGTAAGTAATGCAACTTTTTCGCCTTTAAAAGATATACACATGACATTCGTACGTTTACTATATGCATATTATAGCGTTGAGTTGCGAACTTTCTTCTTTTTTTTCAATCTGAGAATTCAAGCTTTATGGCGCAAATATATATATCCAGACGACAATTTACACAGTTTGTTGTCAAAATTCTATTTTCTTCGAAGCCAACGGATAAATGAATCCTCTGTTAAAAAAAAAAAAAGAAATAAATAAATAAATTCGCGCACCAACGCATGGAAATTAAATTGAGTATCAGCGATAATTAATGCAATCGTATTGATAAAAAGAGATAAACATCGGGATTTTGTACCAACGTGTGCCGCTGGGGCTCGAATACAATCATAATTCCTTTTTTCTAACTAAATTACATACATATTAGCCAATGACGTAGCAACGCCACTTTAAATTCATATTATTTTTACTGTACAAGACTCGCTCGACGGATTCTTAACGATGAAGGGATTTATTTATTATATTTTATCGCATAATCTCCTCTTCCAAAATTCGTCACATCAATCACTAACACTTTCGCCTTCTACTTTCAATATTTGTTTTACGCGCTCTCTCTCTCTCTCTCTCTCTCTCTCTCTCTCACACACACACACACATACATACACCACTTACTCAATCCTCACATTATATTGATACTACACAGCGTTTATTTTTCTTGAAATTATGCCTTCTTTTTTGCACATTTTTTTTTATTTGTTCAAATGAAGCCAAATAACGTTGATTATAGTATTGCGTGATTTTTATAGTTTTATGAATTGAATTGGAATTCCACTGAAACACGTAAGGCACCGTGATCATGAAATTTCGAGTGGAATGTACATGCGGTAGTTTTAAAGAGAGAGGATACGCAGTGAGAAAACAAGTGTTATCGTAAGTATTAAACTTTGTACACCAATTCGTTAGTATAATCGTTAGACTTTCATATTGATTTGATTGAAGAAACACCAAATATCGTCGGTATAACTGTACTTTATTGCATTAAAACCTTAGTGTAGTTTACAAGAAATGTACACGGTCGATTCGACCGTATGAATTTTTTCGTCATAGTCTATACAAAATAAGTCAACAGAAAATAAAAGTGAAAGCATACTTCATTCAAATAAACAAATAAACAAGACAAGAGAGAGTACAAACTTTCGTTAAAATACCTAAAATTAATCGACTTGTATAGATCATTATTAAACTACGCTGTGTGATGAAGAAAGAAGTGAAATGAAAAGTGAGTAAACCATTCGCTCGAGCTACGCGTCTCTATCATCACTCGAATCGGTTTTGCGAAAAAAAGTTTTCGTTTCACCGTCATCAATTACCGTTGAGAATGCACGCGCTTCCGTAGCCCCGATAGAAGGCGAGCCCCAGATGCAAAAAGAAAGCTTACGAGCAAAGAAGTGATTTCGGGACCGAATTCGCCAACGCAGTAGCCTAGCCGAGAAGTTGCAGGCTGTAAAGAAGCTAAATACTAATTAATATCCATCGTCGTCGTCGTCGTCGTCATCTTAAATAAACGATCAACGCGACGATACTAATCTCTTGGGATCTAAGTGCTTTCCCAGCTCCGTTCCCTTGTGCCTAACCC